TTTCCTGGGTTTGGTAGTCTAGTGTAGCTCCCTACTTGGGCTATTTGGGTTCTCTTGATGTAAGCCTGTGAGCTGGCAAGGCACAACTTCGGTGTCTAGACGTCAGCAGCCATGGAGGGGGGGTTCCAATTTTTGCTGTCTTCTGCCCTTGGTTGAAATCAAGCATGCCCTACACGGACTCACAGTGGCACCCAGGAACTCTCTGTTGGGGTGGTGGGGCTCAGGAAGCCTGTGTTCTGGCAAAGCGTGACTGTAGTGTCCAGAGTTCTATAGTTGTGGGGTGGGTAGACTCAGCTTTTGCTGCTCCCTCCGTGGTTGGATACACGCTATCCCAGCAGCAGCTCACAGAGGCAGCTGTGGTGTGTTTTCCAGCAGGGTGTACTGACACACTCTGAAGGGCCCTGGCACTGAAGCAACTGGATTGCAGTGTCTTGGGCAGGTATCCCAGAAGAGGGAATTCAGCATTTCTACAGCCCAGCATTGCCCCCCTGTTTCTTTATGTGCATGACCAGCAGTGCTCGCAGCGGGGCCCCAGGGCTGCCTGTGGAGCAGTGGTCTTGGTAGACCTGCAAGCTGGAAAAGCGTGCAACTGTAGTGTCCACAGTCCTGCAGCTGTGGGGTGTGGAAACTCAGTTTTTGCTGATGCACCTGTGGTGGATAGGCGCGTGTTCCCAGTGGTGGCACACAGGAGCAACTGCAGTAAGTTTGTTAGCGCAGGCACCCTGAAGCACTCTGAAGAGCCCTGGCACAATTTGGGCAGGTATCCAGGATGGGTGAATTCAGAATTTCTACTGCCCAGGGAAGTGTGTCCCTATTAGTCCAAGATCGGACCCAGCAGAGTCTCACTGGGACTTCCCCAAAGTGCCCTGTGGATAGATGGGCTCAGGGGGAGTGAGCAACTGTGGTGGTGCAGTTCCCTGGTGCTGATCTCTGAAGCACTCTGAAGGGCCCTGGCGCTTAAGTTCCGCAGCTGGGTGTGTGTGGGCAGTTATTCAGGCAGAGGGAATTCAGAATTTCTACTGGGGGGCAGTGCGTCTGTGTCTGTACAAAATCACACCCAGCAGAGGTTCCCAGTGACTCCTAAGAGCAGTCTATGGAGTGGTGTGCCTTGGAGACCTGTCAGCTGGAGATGTGTGAATGCGCGATCTCAGAGGTCTGCAGCTGGGGGAGGGGGGGGAGGCTGCACTTACTGCTGCGGGTGGTGCAGTGCTCCTCTGGAGGTGGAGGTTCCAGGGTTCGTGAGTCTGTGGGTGTGGCTGCAGGATTTTGGCTGGAGTGGCTGCTTGGTTTCGGCAGTGTCCAAGGTTTGTCTGGGTGGTGGTTCTGCTGAGTTCCTAGAAGAGACCGCTCTCCCCTTTAAGATGGCGTGGGCTCCGTGCCTGAGTCCAGTAGTCCGGGGTGTGCCGCAATGGTGGTAGTCTCTCCGTGTCCCAGAGAGCCTGGTCTGCCAGCCTCTGCTGCTCCTTCCAGATTTAACTGTCCCTCACTCACTCACATACACACCACACACATCCACACACTCTCCATCTCCTCACTCACTCACTTCCTATCCCTCACCTCCATCCTGCCAGCCGCCATTCTTCCTTCCCCTCCAGATTCTTAACCACCACACATGGATGAGGGGCCAGTCCATTTTTCTTCTCTACCCCTCCTACCAGTTTCTTCTGTGCATTCTTAATTATATGACTTATGCTCAAGTAGTCTTCAGATGGTTATCCAGGTTGATTGTTCTGTAATTTAGTTGTAATGTTGATGTAGTCATGGGAGAAGGTTAGTGCAACTTCTCCCTACTCTGCCATCTTGGATGGATTTTGGAAATTAGGGTTTGTCATGAGCTGCCTTGTCTCCTCATTTCCCTATCCCCGCAGCTATTTTGACCAAAAGGCAGTACATCTTTTACTTGGCTGCATCCAGTATTACTGAAAAGAGCAATAGAGGCACTCAGTTCCATTGAAAATAATTAATTGGTACGTGCTGTGCACAAGGTACGCATACTTGAAAGTTCTTTACCACCTAGTAGGAGCGGTAGGTAATAAACATATATTTGCAAAATACTTTGCTTGGCAATGGTGTCTGTCAATCAAGATGAGGAAAGTACGCTAGGATGACCCTGAAGGAGATATCAGGTAAGTGAATCTCAATGGAGAAATGTTCATTCTTTAAATCTTGGAGAAGGACAATATCCTAAGCAAAGGGAATGAGCAAAGACATGGAGGTCTGAAATAACAAGATTTAGCCAGAAAATATGACCCAAGCAGTGTAGTATATCAAAGTCTGAGGTCAGCAGTGTCTAGATCAGTGGTTCTCAACCTTGGCTGCACATTAGAATCACCTGGGAATCTTTTAAAAAATCCTGATTTCTGGGCCTCATCCTCCGGAAATTGTTTCTTTGTTACTAATGTTGTGGCCCCACCCCATAACAAAGAAACAATTTCCGGAGGATGGGGCCCAGAAATCAGGATTTTAAAAAGATTCCCAGGTGATTCTAATGTGAAGCCAAGGTTGAGAACCACTGGTCTAGATGGAGACTCCTGGAGAAGTAATAATAAAAGCAGGTACTTCTAATGGCTTATTTCTAGGATGCTATGCTAAAGCGATTTAGCTCTATTCAACAACCCTCTGAGATGGATACTATTTTATTGCTAGTGGAAAAAGTGAAGCCCAGAGAGTTTAAGTCACTAATAGTCATTGTGTACAGCTAATGAGTCACCCAAGTCAGCTTTAGAGCCCAAGCTGCACATTGGGGATTAGAAATAATTAGCAAGTTACAGAAGGCCTTAACTGCAACTTTTGCAAGAGTTTTTCCTGTCCAAATGAAAAACAGGACACCAATAAAGGGAATTTAATCAAGGAGGTGACTAGGGATCAGAAAATTGGGGAGTAAAGGCCCTATGGTAATTAGGCTCTTTGTAACTTCAGGCAAATAATTTTCCTTCTTTGGATCTCTGTTTTTTCATCTGTAAAATGAGGACAGTGATAAAGGGCCAATCTTAAGGTTCTCTTTCAATTCGTTGAGTTTTTTGCATCTCCAACTCAGGGTAGGGGAGGGTTGGATTTCTAACTGGAGAGACTGGTAGACACTTTATGTACTGTACTTTATATATAGTACTATAGGCCTGGTGCATGAAATTCATGAATGGGTGTGGTCCCTAGGTCCAGCCAGCAATCAAAGCACGAGAATCTGGCATGGAAGGGTAGGTCCCAGCTGAGCTCTGGGCCCTGGGCAGTACTTGGGCCCCTGGGCCCCTGTGAGCCCCCCTCAGCCTGAGTCACAGAGCCCGAGTCCCCATGCAGACATGCAGTGAGCACAGCCAGACGCTGCGGACCGGGGCACAGCGTGGTCCTCCAGGCCGCCCAGAGGCATGGCATGGAAGCTGGGTGGGCAGCGTGCTCTCTCCCAGCCAACCTCATAGACCGGTTCCTGTGCGATCCCACAGGGAGCCCAACCAGCCCCTGTGGTTCCGGTGGCTGCAGCCCGGCTCATCCGGAAGATGCCGTGCAGGTGCGAAGCAGGCAGGCTCTTCACAGGCACCAGCCACCTGAGCATGGGGGCTTCCCTGGTGCTTGAGCCCTGGCATTCTGGGAGAGGGTAGCAGGGGGAATGAGAGCGAGCTTGGTGTACACCTTGCATACTCACTGCACCTCTGTCCCTGTCACTCCCATCCCCAGGTAGCTGGCAAGAGGTCACAGTACGTCGTGGACACCCTCCATGTGTTGCGCTGCCCTCTGGTGGTCAGCACACGTCATAGCGAGTGGTCAAACTCCCAGTTGAACTCCAGGTCAAGGGGACAATTTGCATATTAGGCTTTTATTATATAGGATTATTATATAGGGTACCTCTTGCCTGGAATGCCATATTGCTTCTCTCTTTTCTTTCCAAATATTTTCTTACTATAGCTCCCCAACCCACTCTTCTTAGCTTTATCAGTGCTAAGTTAGTTATGTCTCATTTGGGCCCTTAATTATATATTGTCTTGTATTCTTCGCTAGTTGTTTCCTTTGTAATGTTTTCTCTCCAATTTACACCTCTCCTTTTCTTCTACATTTTAATTTTGCTTTGGTGAAAATCTTCTTAATAATTTTCTTTCTCTTTTGGCAGTGTGTGTGAGCACAGCAAAGAGAATTTTATGACTCCCTCCAACATGGGGGTGATCTTTGGTCCCACGCTGATGAGAGCTCAGGAGGATACTGTGGCTGCCATGATGAATATCAAATTCCAGAACATTGTGGTAGAAATCCTAATTGAGCACTTTGTAAAGGTATGTATTTCCTGTCCTCACCACCACTCCTCCAAACATGTAACACTTTTTCCTAGCCACCTTTTAGAGTTGTGTCTCCTTTCCTGGGTAAAGTTGATAATGGAAGGATATTCCATTATGGTACAATTACATTTAACAACGTGTTTGCCACTGTGAAATTCATTTATTCAGCAAATATTGCTTAATTAGTAACTATTTCATTATCAGGCACCATGCTAATGGTATAGAAGGAGAAAAATATCACTGTCTATAGCTATAAGTAGTTAGCAGTGTAATATGGTGATAGACATGTAAACAAAGGAAAATTATAGTTATAAAATGCTATATGTATAATGAAACTATAAAGAAAGCTATACCAGTGATGGCAAACCTTTTGAGCTCGTCGTGTCAGCATTTTGAAAAACCCTAACTTAACTCTGGTGCCGTGTCACATATAGAAATTTTTGATATTTGCAACCATAGTAAAACAAAGACATATATTTTTGATATTTATTTTATATATTTAAATGCCATTTAACAAAGAAAAATCAACCAAAAAAATGAGTTCGTGTGCCACCTCTGACACGCATGTCATAGGTTTGCCATCACTGACCTATACTTAGGTAAAACTATATCATCCTATCTAATAAAGAGGGGATATGCTAACTGACCCTCATGCCGTCGCAAAGATAGTGGCGCCCACAGCCAATAAGGAGGGAATATGCTAATTGACTGCCCTGACCTCAATGATGGTGGCATCCACAGCCAATAAGGAGGAAATATGCTAATTGACTGTCCCACCCTCAAAGATGGTGGCACCCACAGCCAATAAGGAGGAAATATGCTAATTGACTGCCACACTCTCAAAGATGGTGGCACCCACAGCCACAAGATGGTGGCACCCAGTCCCCGCAGCCCCCCAGCCACCCAGAGCCAGCCTGAGGTGCAGGCAAGCCTCAGATGGCAGCTTCCTAGCCACCTAGGGCGGGCACGAGGTGCAGGCAAGCCTTGGATGGTGGCTGCCCAGCCACCCAGGGCTGCCCCAGGCTCAGGTAACCAGGGCTGGCTGAGGCTTCCCCTGCCGGCAGTGGCAGCAGCAGAGGTCTGATGGGCCGTTGCCTTCCCCTGATTGCTGGGTCACCTCCTGCCCCTGAGGGCTCCCGGACTGTGAGAGGGGGCAGGCCGGGCTGAGGGATGCCCCCTCCAGTGCATGAATTTTCAGGCACCGAGCCTCTAGTTCTGAAATAATTTAAGGTGCTATATTTTTATGATATGTAAAATATGAGGTAGTATACATTATAATTAGGTCAAGTAAAAAAGTATAAATAAGCATAGAGACAGAATATGAGCCCAGGAATGAGGCGAGACAAAAATGATTTATTGACAAGTCATGTACACTTGCTTCAGATGTTCCTGCATTTGACTCTACACTTTGTAATAGCCTATGCCATCCTCACAGGGCATAATTCAATAAAAACTTTTCTGCAAGTGGATGAGACTGATGATATAATCTAGGTGGTATCCACAGTTAAAATATAATGTCCACCATTAGATAGAAGTTAGCCTTCTAAGACTCTACATATAAACACTCTGGCTCCAACACAAGAGACATTTATTTTTTTGTTGTGGAATAGTCCAGCAAGGTGGTCCAAGGCCGGTATGGTGACTTGACAGGTACAAACACAGGTTTCTTCCATCTTATTTCTCTGCCATTGCTAAGGTATTGCTTCATGTGCATGGCCAAATATCTTCTATATTATATCAACTGAGAAGGATGAAATAAAGGGAAATAGAGGATACAGTTCTTTCCTTTAAGGTCTTGTCCTGAAAGTCATACATATTACTTTCATTAACTTACTATTTGTCAGAATTTAATCTCATGGTCACATCTAGCTAGAAGAGAGTAAGGGAAGTATAGTTGTTGTTTTTGTTTTTTTTGTTTGTTTGTTTTTTTGGTGGGGGGCATCCATGTGCCCAGTATTTCATGAAAATAAGAAATACAGAATGGGAAACTTTTAGTGAGGTACAAGAAAACTCAATTTTAAGTAGAGATTCCTGAAAGATTAACTCTGAATTTAAACCAGGAATTGACAAACCTTTTCTTAAGGCACCATATAGTAAATATTTTAAACTTTGTGGGTTATAGAACTCTGTCACAACTACTCACATACACTTTTGTATTGGGAAAGCCATAGAAAACATGTAAACAAGTTAATATTTTATTTATTTTAAAAAAACATATTTTATTGATTTTCTAACAGGGAGGAAGGGAGAGGTTAGAAACACTGATGAGAGAGAAACATCAATCAGCTGCCTCCTGCACATCCCCCACTGAGGATGTGCCCACAACCGAGGTACATGCCCTTGACCAGAATCGAACCTGGGACCCTTGAGTCCGCAGGCCATCGCTCTATCCACTGAACCAAACTGGTTAGTGCAAAAGTGAATATTTTAATAAAGTTCTACTTTCAAGCAGGCAGTAAGCATGTGGGCTATAATTTCATGACCATTGGTCTAAAGTCCAAATGTCATTTATTGATTAGTTGATTGATTTATTCAATAAATATGTATTGAGTACTGCTTTAAGCACTGGAGATACAGCTCTCATAAATTTATATTCTAAAGAAAGTAGAAAAACAGTATGTATTTAAAATTAGTACCATGTATATAGTATGTTAGGATCTGTCTCTATCCTTATTTATACTTTTTTAGTTGATCTAGTTATAACAAGATTTAAGAAAAAAATTAAGCAGAGAAGGGAAGTGCTTTTACAGTTTCATTTATCTTTCACTTTTCAATTAAATTTGACATTCAATATTAGATTGATTTCAGTTATATAGCATAGTGGTTACACTATATAACTTACAACATGATTCCCCTGATAAGTCTAGTACCCCCCCAACACCATACATAGTTATTACAATATTGATGACTATTGTAGTCTGTAACTACTTTATAACTGTCAATTTGTACTTCCTAATCCCTGCACTTTTTTCACTCAGCCTCACACCCCCTTCTTACCTGACAACAATAATTTTGTTCTCTGTATCTATGAATTTGTTACTTGTTTTGTTCGTTCATTTATTTTGTTTTTTAGATTCCACATATCAGTGAAACCATATGTAAATATTAACACAAAATAAATCAAATACCTAAATGCAATATCTGAAACAATAAATTACATAGAAGGAAACATAGATACTAAACTTATGAACCTTAAGCATAGAGGACATTTTATGAATTTGACCCCAAAGGCAAAAGAAGTAACGGAAAAAAAATTAAAAAAAATGGGACTATATCAAACTAAAAAACCTCTTCACAGCAAAAGAAACTCCAAACAGAATAAAAAAGCAACCAACTGAATGGGAGAAGATATTTGCAAACAACAGCTAAGGTGTTAATAGCCAAAATATATTAAGAACTCATACAATTCAATGCCATAAAACCCTAAACAATCCATTTAAAAACTGAGCAGAAGATCTGAATAGACACTTCTCCAAAGAAGCCATACAAATGTCCAACAGATATATGAAAATAGGTTCAACTTCACTTTTAGGAAAATGCAAATCAAAACTACAGTGTAATACCACCTCCCTCCTGTTAGAATGGCTGTCTACACTAATAAAAGACACACATGCAAATTGACCATACCTTTGCTACACCTTAAGTCACGCCCACCAGGCAATCAGAGATGATTATAACCCAACCAAGATGGTGGCCAGCAGCCACGGAGCTGGGGCAAGCAGGAGGCTTGGTTGCCCCAATGACGGAGGAAGCCAAGGTTCCCGCCTGCCACAGCGGCTCTGAGCTCCACTCAAAGCAACAAAGTTTCAATTATAGAAGATAAAGAAACCCCAGATACCTGTTTTCAGCCAGCCATGGCCACAGAACTGGAGCGATCAGGAGGCGTGG